ATTTTTCTGGGGATTAATACACAACATCTAGACTTAGGCAGAGTATTCTCACGATAAATATCAATTCTTTTTTAATATTGTTTTTATTTTACATATATGAATATTTTGCCTGCATGTATGTAAATGCACCTGTGTCGTGCAATGCCCATGGAGATGAGAAGAGGGCATCGGATCCCCTGGAACTGGAGTTACAGACTGTTGTTAGCCACCATGTGAATGCTAGGATTTGAACCCAGGTCCTCTGTGAGAGCAGCCAGTGCTCTTGACCACTAAGCCACCTCTCCAGCCCCCATTTTCTGATAAGGATATAATTATGCCTGTCATTAAAACAATGGATGTCTGCATTCTTTTAGTATCCCAAACAGAGTTCATTTGTGTGTATAACTTTATTTTTGAATCTGTAACTTTAAACAATATGATAAACTGTCTGTCTGTATTGTATATGACAACATTAATAGAAAGGTAAGTTGAGCTAATAAAGCGGGCATTGTTTTTCCTATATCAAAAAAATCTGTCTTTGGTCAGCACCTCAGACATAGGACAGCTACTCACAGAATTTCCCCAGAAACTCCAGCCACCTACACTCAGGCTCTTCTGCATTGTTTTGTAACTGCATTTCTTCTGAATAATAGTCTGAAATTTTTAACAATTTTAATAACAATTTTAAAGATATTATAAAAAATTGATCCACTTGCTTTTATTTTCATTAATAATGTGGCTTCATTCTTACCATTTAATGTTACAAATATATTTCTATTTTACTATTCATCTCTTATTTTTTAGTAGGTGGAATTTTCTTTTTTCTCTCTCTTTATGTATCATCAGCTTTTATTTTAGTTTTTATTTTTTTTAACAGAGCATAGGGTAGTGGTTTATTTACAGAAGAGTGGATAGCCCCCATTTATGGCCGTGCCATTAAAGTCCACACTCAAATACAGATCCTGTGACCCCCCAACAGCCGAACAAAATTGTGAGAGAGGTGCCTCTCGGTGTTTTCAGCTTATATATCCTTTTCCCCTCCCCCCACATGCAGCTAAGGTCAACTGGTTGGGGGGGAGGGTAACTGACTCCCCCTTCGACTCCTTGATGAGAGTTGAAGGAGCTGTGACTATTACTTGCTGGCATAGTGATCAGAGGACATTTCCACTTAGCACTCCACCCCTTCCTCTGGCTCTTACATTCTTTCCATCAATCTCTTCCACAAGAGTCCCTGAGCCTTGGAGAGGGGTGGTAGGTGTGGAATGATCTTCCTCCTGTTGTGGCAAGGCACTGAACTTTCAGGTCTCTACATCATCTGTTTTCCATGGGCTGTTGGCCAGTTTGAGTGGGATTCCATCTACATAGCAAGAAGCAAGAACATCTAAACAGTGACTGCTATAATAACTTAGCCTATGGGTGTAAACACAATGCTTGGTCAGTACTTTAGCAGGTACATCATTTCCATCTAACAAAGGAACTGCAGTGACTTCCCACTGGGGCCTATATTCTCCCCTGCCACAGGGGGTGGCCAGGTCTACAGTACCAGATGCGTGTTTCACCCCTAGGAGCAGGCATTATATCCAATCGAAAATTTGCTGGCTATACATACACTGGATGCTTCACTATTGCACCAACAGGAATATCTTGTTTGGTATGTTGATAGTGCAACACGCAGGGTCCGTTGTTGAGCGGAATCATAGGGGACAATTCTCCCCCAGTCATCTGCATGTTGCTTTTTGGCACCATAAAAGCCCCCCATCCAATGGCAGGGAGTTTCCAGCTTAGTCCAAGCTTGATTTCTTCTTCTCCTGTGCTCACATCATGCAGTGTCTTCAGCAATAGTTTTTCCGTCCACTTCCAGTGTACAACCAACATTATTGGCAATGGCTTTTATTGTTTGGGGAACCTCTAGTGACCCTCAGGCCAACAGCTCATAAGCCCTGGGATTTTCATTTAACAACCATATTGCTTTTGGAAGGGCTTTCTTCCATCCCTCTAGGGTTCCTTCTGTGCTTAAGGCTTTTTTTTTTTTTATTGTGTATCTGGAAAAATTTTCCCCCTTTATTCCCATAGTTCTTTGTATAGTCCTCCTTCCCCTCCCCCCACCTTCCTCTTTAATTACCCCCTTTTTGCATATTTCCCCCTTAATAACACCTTTATCCTACTATTCTTCTCTCTCATGTTATAGATGGAATTTTCTTAGTTCATTCTTAGTATGTGCTCTGTAAAATACATAATTTGCCAGGCTTGGTAGTGCACACCTTTTAATCCCAGCACTTGGGAGGCAGGGGTAGGTGGATCTTTGTGAGACTGAGGCCAGCCCAGGCCTGGTTTACATAACAAGTTTCAGGCCAGCAGGGACTACATATATTCTTTTAGAAATTATACATACTCTTTCAAGTCACATACTTAAACATTCTGTATGGTATCTAGAGTTAATAAGTATTAATATCTTTCTTTAAAGTACTAAAAATATATAGTACTTTCACACCTAACAAACCCTCTCCCATTTCGAAATGATCAAGAAACTTTGTTTCCAACTGTAAAGTTACAGCTTTTAATCACAAGAAGCATAGCTGCTGTTTACGTGATAGGTAAATTGTTTCTTGACTGTTTTATTTACATCCAATATTGTCATCTCTACTTTTTAAAAATACAACTGGAATACATTTGGGAGTAATTGATTTACTGAATATCTGTAGTTAATAAACTTCCTGAGCCATTGTATGCTTTATTCTTTAACCTTTCTTTAATAGTAGCTTCGATTCGTTTGAGTCTATATTTCCTAATTGTAGATACTTGTAAGGATTCAAAATTTCTTAGGTGTATGACTTTTGTTTGCATGTATGTAAGTGCACCTGTGTCATGAAATGCCCACCGAGGCCAGAAGAGGGCATCAGATCCTCTGGAACTGGAGTTATGGATGTTTGTCAGCCACCATCTGGATGCTGAGAACTGAACCCCAGTCCTCTAGAAGATCAGCCAGTGTTCTTAACTGCTAAGCCATCTCTCCAGACCCCCAAGAGTTCTACTTTTTAATTGTGTGTATGCATGTTCATGTGAGTGCATGTGTGTGAGGGTATGTATAGGTGTGCCTATACTTGTATGCATGTGCATGTGAAATCCAGAATAAACTTTAGAGGCCTGAGATTAGAAGCAGGAAGCCCAGTTAGAGAACACTGTGGCAGTCCTCACTAGACAGGATAGTGAATTAGACTAGGACAAGGACAGGAAAGGAGGAGGGGAGAGATTTGACTTTGAAGACACTATAAATATTATCTTATTTAAAGTAACTTTAGATCATTTTAACTTCCTAACAGATTGGAAAAGGAATGTAAGAATGTAGCAATAGTTAAGAATAATCAGGGTGTTGTTTGCTTCCCCAGCTGGCAGTGTGACTAGCAACCTAACACATGCAGCAGCGGCAACAGAACACAGGGAGTTTGCTTGGAGATGGAGCTGTCTGTTACCTTCTAAATGAAGGTGCTAAGTGCTATAATTCACAATCTACAACTTCCACTCTATGTACTGAGAAAGAATCAAGGGCCATAAAGGTGGCTCAGTGGGTAAAGGTGATCACTGCTGTGCCTGAGGAACTGAGTTTGATCCACACGACTCATGGTAGAAGGAGAGAACAGAAAACTGACGTGATTTGCACAAATTGTCTCCTGCCTGCCACATACACACTGTGGCACAAATATGTCAGGGGGTGGGAGGGAGGGAGAGAGAGTAAATAAATGAATAAATAGAATCAAAATTGTGAAGCATTGTGAAAATCAAAGGAAGCTCTGAAGAATTCTAAACATACAATGTATCTAGCTTTATTTTTTCAAATGTTAAGCCTTACTTTCACATAATTTAAAAGTAGATAATATTGGGCTGGAGAGATGGCTCAGCAGTCAAGAACACTAGCTGTTCTTGCAGAAGAGCCGGGTTCGAGTCCCAGCACCCACATGGCAGCTAACAACTGTATGTAACTCCATTTTTAGGGGATCCGACAGCCTCTTCTGTCCTCTGCGGGCATTACACGACACAGTTTGCACTTACCTACATGCAAGAAATATACACAGACACATAAAAATAATAAAATATTTTTAAGTAGATAATATTTACTGTCAAGAATAAATGTTTCCATTTACTTCTGTGGGGAGCACTCTTTAGACAATCATATAAATTTATTAAGATTTAATTTTAAAATACAATAATTAGGGGCTGGAGATATGACTCAGCAGTTAAGAGCACTGGCTACTTTTCCAGAGGACCCAGGTTCAGTTCCCAGTACCCATAGGGAAACTGCTAACTCCAGGTCCAGAGATTCCAGCGTCCTCTTCTGGCCTCTGAAGGTCTTGCATGAATGTGATGCACTTACATACATGTAGGCAAAGCATTCATACACATAAAATAAAAATAAATACATCAAAAAATATTTTAAAGAAAATACATTAATTAGCACAAACATGAATAGATTTGGGAGCAAGCATGACCAACTTGGTAAGCAGCAGCTTGTTAGTGGAACTCGAACATGTGAGCAGCTGAGGGAATAGCATTTATGAGGTGGATGTTCCCATAGCTGGCAAGCTTTATAGCATCACTAGAGGACTTTATTTAATTGAGTGACTCTAGTCGCTGGTGGCCAATTAAAAGAATTTTTTAAGGTGTTGTAAACCTGTCCTAAAAAGACATTATATTGTATCTTGTATATTGAATGTCCCAAAACAGAGTTGAGAGCAACTTTCTCGGCTGTCGCTGCCTCTTCCTTGGTGTTATCAAAATCTATCCGTAGTCCTTCACTTCAGTGGAAAGACCTCATTTTCAGACTTCACATTTTCAATCTGTGAATGGAAAGGGGCAGTTTTGGGATGTTCACTGGATACCTGCATCTGAGCACTTTGTCACTTGGCAGTTTAGAATCATTTCATTTCAGTTTTGGGCAGTTCACTCAGAGCTGGCACCTGAAGTACTCACTCATGGGCTTTAACAATGAGTCTCATGTCCCGTCTTCTTGTCCTTGTGTTGCCTAGGAATTATCTGGAACTTGTTGCAAAGTCTATTCAGGACTGGACCACAGAAGAAGAGGCTAAGTATCAAGAAGCTAAAATGGCTGAGGAGGTCAGCAAGACCAGGGCTGAACTAGAGCTGAAAACCTCTACTGCCAAAATTTCTTCTAGTAAAATCTTTTCCCTCAAAAAATCTAAAAGTAAGTCACCAGTGCATGATACACCTAGAATAAGGTCCAAACATATTCTCCCATCTCTTACTTTCGTCAAGACTGAATAACCCAAAATTTTAAAAAGTTCTCAAAAAAATTCCCATGACTTCGCTTTCTCTAATAAATGGAACTACTGCATTCCAAATGTGATGACATGGCACCTGAGTGGGACACTGGAATATTTGTCCCAATTCCACCTCCTATCAAATCCTGGAAGATCTCATCTATTACAAAGATCAAATATGATGAGTCAGAGAAACACCAATTGTCATTATTGGTAGGATCGGTGGGTTCAGCTTTCTAAATTTGTTCACAATGTGTGAGGTAAAGTCAGAGTTACTGGGTCTCAGCAGGATAATTATAGATTCCAACCGCAATGAAATCATGACCCTTCTTAGAATAACAAACCTAAGAGTCCCAGGATTACCTGGGGTTAGGAAGCTAGAGATAAAGGGAAAGGGGTTTCTTAGGGGTTTCCCACACGGACTTGACCAGATCTTGGCTCTATGTATATTTTTGTTTTACTTAATTTTTAGGTCTTCGCTAATTTCTTGGACTTTGAATCCATGAAGGAAGAGAGAAGAAGGCAACAAAGAATGCAAACTAAATTTTTATGATAGTTGTTTAATAAATGAGATAAAACAGGAAGTTCATCTGGAAAATAGAAATATTTACAGAATTTGTAGAAAAGAAACTCTCTCTGCTGATAATATTCGTTACTTAAGAGAGCTAAAATTAAAAGATATTTCATAATGGAGTCAAGGTGTGAAATTTCCAAAGCGTTTGCAACCAGAGGAGTTTGTGTATGGCCTGACTCTAGAGTAAAACCTAAACCAAACTGATAAGGAATCTTTTGGTATCTACCAAAATAATTGTATTGTCAATAGCTCAGCTTCATCCTAGTGGAGTCAAGAGAAAACCTAGGCTGATAGTCTCTGAGGTCTCCTCTAGCACAGAGATTTGAGTCTTCCATGATATCTTACTTAACAGCATTCCTAAGAATTTTAACTATCTCTGATCTTAGGTAGCAAAGTGATCAGCAAAACAGAGATACCAGAACAAGAAAAAGAGAAAGAGGAAGAAAAGATTCCTTTCGTTTTAGAAGGCTCTCTCAAGGTAATCCAAGAAAAGACATATGTCATTGGTGAATCACAAATCCAAAAATAGCTTGTGATACAGAGTTCATGTTAATAATAGGAAATGATATTTTTAACTAAAACCTCAGAAATCATTGAAACAGCAATGAAAGATTGTCTCTCCACAGTTACCCCTCCACCATATGATGAATCTTTAAGAGAATTTGTGCCTTACTTATTTTTACATAACTGAAATCAGGAGCAGTGGCTCGTTCATGGCTGTTTATTCTTTATTTTGGTTGCAAATGTTTGCTTTTGTTTGAATATTTGCATTTAAACTTTTAATTATAAAACTAACATATGCTTTTGTAGTCATTCAAGATTATTTTCCTGAACTACATCCCAAGTCTCTGGGATAAGAAATACTAAAGTTTGGTAAGTTCTGTATTCAGACAAGCACATATGCACACATGCATACAAGTATTTACTTGCTTATATGTAGGAGTAGGTTTGCTCAGGTTTGGGACTTCTACCCTTTGGCATGTCACACTCCCAGAGTGTGGATGCATTCACAAACCCAGATCTCTCCAAATCATGTGGTTTTGAGGTTTTTGTGGAAGTTTCATCATGTAGGTATGATCGGTTATTAATTCCATCTACAGCCTCTTTCTTGTCCTCAAAGGTGGGGGGAATGGAGGGCTAAGATACTGAAAGTTCCAAGATTATAACCTGGGTTTGACCTTTCTGATGACCAGCTTCTACCCCATCCTGAAACTATCTAAGAGTTTGCCAACAGTTGCCTCACTAGAAAAAAAAGACACCCCTATCACTCATGAAATTCCGGGGGATTTAAGAGTTCTGTGCCAGGATCCAGGAACGAACACCAAATATCTGGTTCTTATTATACCATAATATTATAGTTTCTATTAAACTCAGTTGTTTCTTATCTGAAAATGGCTTTATTTTGTTCCTATTCATTAAACATAGTTTTCGTTTATCAAATTCTTGGTTGACTTTTTATTTCCTGATAGCACTCTCAAAACATTAGTCTACACTCTCCTTGCTGACCTCATAGCTGTTAATAAATTGTCAATCTGATTTTACATTCTTTTTGGACAGTTTATCTTTTCTCTTTAGCCACTTTGAAAATATTCTGTGATACTCTGGTAAACATTTAGCAGTCACTCTTTACAAAAACAAACGTGGATAAATGTGCATATATAACTTTACAGTAAATGTTACCGATAGTACATTTTGTTTACATTTTGTATATAACAGCATACAAATAATGATAAATCCTATAATAGTCTTTAATGCAAAGTCCATTTAGCAAATTGATTCTTAAAATATGCTTTCATTGTCTTTCCCAAATTCTTGCATCCTTTCCCAACCCTTGGTTGCAATTGACAAATAAACATATCTCCAATACGGATGCTGCTTAATATTTTCATTTATGTGGACAAGACAAAATTGTAACAGCAAAAGAGCATGCCCTCCTCATTGTTCAGTGATTGAGTCAAGATGGAGAATGTGCGTGTAGGAAGACTTTCATCAGTGCTATGCTAGTTATAGTGTAGTGGCTACAGGCACCACGTACCTCAGTTTGATCTTTATTACTAACAATCTGCCCATTATTTTTAGTATAGAAAATCAATAATCAATATCTGGTTTGTAGCATTTGCTGACCTGTAGTGTAAATTTTCCAACAGTAGCTAACAAGTCACCAGCGTGACATCGTAATGCTGAGTGGGAAACAGTGGGGACACAGACACCGTTGTACAACATAGTGTTTCCATATACAACACAAATAATAGCAAACTGTAATGCAATGGTTATGAGTTGATGAATATGAATTTTGGTTGCCTTTATATATAGCATTATATTTAAATTGCATTTATATCACCTTTTTAAATTTTTTAATTAAAATTTTGTGTATTTCATACAGAACATCTCAATCAACCTTAATCCATCTTTATACCCCCTTCCTCACTGGCACCCTCCCATAGCCTCCCCCCCCATTAAATTCATACATTCTGTCATTTCTGTTAAGGCCTATTGTGTCAAGTTAGTGTCCCCAGATGTTCCTCAGTGCAAGCTCCTCTACTGAGGTCAAGTCAGCCTACCTAAATTCCCTCACTTTAGGGACATCAGCTCTTCCTCACCCAGCAATAATCAGATACAAATATTCCTTCAACTAAGATTGGGGTCTGCTGTCCTTTTCCCCAGTTCTGTACTGGGTTTTTGTCTGCGTGAGTTTGTATGGGTCTTGTGCATGCTGACACCATTGCTGTAGGTTCCCATGAGCAGGGTCCCAGGAGATTGTAGGACTCTATTTCTGTATGGTCATGAACCTCCACCCGGGTTCTTACAGTCGTTCCACCCCCTCTTCAGCAATGGTCCCTGAGGTCCCAGGGGTGGGTGAAGTTTAGTATAGGAGTCCTGTCTAAGAACCAGTATTCTACGGATTCTAATTCTCTATGCTTTGACCATTTGTGACCTTTTGTGTTCCTGGCCCTCTGCTGCATAAGGGAGCTTCATTAATGAGAATTGAGAGATGCATTAGTGTCTTCTTTATCCTTGTTCTATGTTCCATGAGCTTTAGGTGTAGCTGTTGCATTGTAGATGTGCCACTTAGGCTTGGGTAATTCATAGACAATGTCTGTGTGTGACCAGTTGTGGTACTTGGTAATGGCCTCCATCTGGTGCAAAAGAAGTTTCTTTGATGAGTGGTGACTGGGATATTTGTCTGTAAATATAAGAATACATATTTTGTACATAGCAAGAAATTACATTAGTCTAGGTATGTGACAGTCTTGGGGATTTCTCTAAAATCTATGGCCTCTCCAGCCATGTATATTTGACTATGTTTACAGTACCACACATGAGTTTCTTCCCATTGAGTGGACTTTTAGGCCAATTCGGTAGCCGTAAGATTGTCCCCAAGATAAAAATGCCACTACTGCACAAATGTTGTATGTTGTGCAGGTCATTGATGTGATTATTTGGTCTTGAAGCTGGCGTTGGACGATCAGTTGATGTTCTTACTCAGAACCTTGTGTAGTGCTCTCCAAAGCTATGAGAGCTAGCCTTCAGGGGAAATGGCTTCCAGGTCAGTTTCAGCTTCACTGCTCCAAATACTGTATCTGAAGTATGTTCTGTCTTCAGCAGTAGGGTCTTACCTTCAAGTTCTGGGAGGGAATCAAGGACTGTGGCAATAACCTGTGCAATTTGGGGAGTGTTTTGGACAACCCTGGCCAACAACTCAAAAGAAAGTTATCTCTTGTCTGGCACTGTTTCTTGTTATGTGGCCTTGAGCTATACACATGGACTCATGTAGAGATATTGTATGTGTGATTTATCATTAGGTTGTTGGACTAGTATGATTCCCTCTGGTTTTCATAAAACTAGTCAGGCATTATTTCTCTCTCTCTCTCTTTCTTCCCCCCACCCCCCATCTAACCCTTCCACCATGGCTTGCCCCATTTAAAGTGTCCCCATTTTCCCCTTCTCCCTTGATAATACCAGTCTCCTATGGTCCCACCTCTCTTGAACTGCATCTTTCTCTTTATCCCTAAAGTTCCTTATATAATCCTCCCTATCTCATCCCATTTAAATACCCCCATTTTTATCCATTTTTCCCTTAGGAACACCTACCTCCTACTGTTCTTCTCTCTCAGCTTCCTTCTTTCCCTTTACCTCCCTGTTGCTTTTCATTATTCTGTTTTCTACAGTTACATCTGGATACATACAGATTAGGATTTGGTACTAGAATTCACATATGAGGGAAAACATATGTAGTTTGTTTTCCTGAGTCTGTGTTACTTCTCTTAGTATAACAGTTTCTAGTTCCATCCATTTACCTGCAAATTTCATTATTTCGTCCTTCTTTACTGTTGAGTAGAACTCCACTGTGCAAATGTACCACATTTTCATTATCCACTTGTCAGTTGTGGGACCCTTAAGTTGTTTCCATCTCTTAGCTGTTATAAAAAGAGCAGCAACAATCATGGATGTAAAAGTCTCTCTGAAATAGGATGAGTCCTTTGGATATATGCCAAAGAGTGGTATAACTGGGTCATATGGTAGGTTCATTTTTAGTTTTTTAAGTGTTCTCTACACTGCTTTCCATAGGGGTTGAACAGGTTTGCAATCGCACCAGCAGTGGATGAATGTTGCCCTTTCCCCACATCCTCTCCAGCATTTGATATCATTGGTTCTCTTGATCTTAGCCACTCTGACTGGCAAAAGATGAAATCTTAAAGTGGTTTAAATTTGCATTTCCCTAATTACTAACAATGTTTCCTAGCCATCTTTATTTCTTCTTTTGAGAACTCTCTGTTCAGATCCTTAACCCATCTTTTAATTGGTTCACTTGCTTTCTTTATTCTTTGTTTTTTGAGTTCTTTATATATACTGGATATTAACCCTCTGTCAGATGTGTCACTGGTGAAAATTTTCTCCCACTCCATGGGTTTTCTCTTCACTTCCTTGGTTGTTTCTTTTGCTGTACAGAACTTTTTAGTTTAATGAGGTCCCACTTGTTGATTCTCGACTTTAATTCCTGAGCAGTTGATGTCCTATTTAGAAAGTCCTTTCCTACATGTATATCTTGTAGGTTACTGCCAATATTTTCTTCTAACAGTTTTAGAGTTTCAGGTTTCACATGGAGGTCTTTGATCCATTTGGAGTTGACTTTTGTGCAAGGTGAAAAATAAGGGTCTAGTTTCATTATTCTACAGGTGGAGACCCAGTTTTGCCAGCACCATTTAATGAAGATACTGTCTTTCCTCCAGTGAATGAATGCTCTTGGCCCATTTGTCAAATAACAGGTGGCTCAAATTGCATGTGCTCAAGTTTGGGTCTTCGGTTATGTTCTGTTGATCTATGTGTCTATTTTCGTTCCAGTACCATGCTGTTTTTATGACTATAGCTCTGTAATACAGTTCAAAATCTGGTTTAGTAATCCCCCCAGCATTGCTCTTTGTGCTGAGGATTCTTTGGCTATCCAAGGTCTTTGGGGCTTCCATATGAATTTGGAGA